AATGTTTCAGTAAAAAGCAGCAAAAAAATGAGAAAAATATTAGCCAAAATTAATTATGAAATTGCTTCCTCTAAAAAATTCAAATACGTTCAGTTTTGTATATAGGAAATACCAAACATGTGTGTCTATCCCGTAATTCATCATGTTCATAGGGGCATTATATATATGTAACAGCAATGGTGTATCTAGGGCAAAATAGACTGATGAAGCTCTACCCACTTCAAGTTGGTTTTGAATTCAGTTTTCATTTTCTTTGTTGCCACCACAAAGGCAATAAATTTCAGTCTGCTCTGTTATTTAACCCACAGCTAGCAGAAGATGGGTTCATGCCTTTTTCAAGAGTATTATCACAAAGTATGTGATAAAAACTTGAATTGAGTGGGAACTGTACTCAGCACTCTTAATTGACTTTCTGTGCCAATATCCATTACTCCATCCACATCTCCACCAAACATATTCATCTATATACGAAAAAATATTGTTTATTCTTCAGTCAAGCTACCTTCAGGGACTAATTTGGCTTTTTGGCCAATCATACATGCTAATAGTCATCAACTTTATGCATTATGTCAGATTTTATTATGCAAGTCAATTTTTTTTTTTATAAGAAAATTCATATTGAGCAATAAATATTGGCAGTTTTCAGATGTTCATATTGATATGAGCAATATATTGATTTTCAGCTTATTAATTTTCAGTTTGTTAAAAATATTGATTATAAATTGTTTGGTGATGTCAGGTTTTATTTTGCAAACATAAATTTTTTATTTATACAGGGTGTCCCCAAAGTCTGGACATATAGGAAATTTCATTAACTATATTTTTTTACTTCCACTGATTAAATATGGCTTTGTCAAAAGAAGAAAGAATTGACTTCTTTTTCTGGAGTATGCTAACAGAGAAGGTTTACTCAATGAAAATTACAGATGCAACACATTTGATTGAATACATAAAGAGTGAATGTGCTAAAATTGATGGCAATGTTGAATTATTGCATTGAGTTCATGTGAATCTTGCAAAGCGTATCAACATTTGCATCACAAATGGTGGAAAGCATATTGAAGATGTTATTTGTTAATATTACAATTCAATAAAATGTTGTTGAAAATTTAATTTCTTGAAAATATTGATTTTTGCTTATGTGCCCAGACTTTAAGGACATTCTGTATATAAATTCAAAATATATACCCACAGGAACATATATTTAACACAATATCCAATATACCAGAATAAATTATTATTTCATTATTTTCCATATTAATAAGGGCTTCTTGACATTCTATAATTTTCATCAGTCTTTCATTCCTCTTATTAACATTTCTTCTGTTTCGACTAACATTATTTGCAGCAGATTTATCAATTTGCAGGAATCTTCTTTGAATAGTTCTCAATTCTTATATAAATCTCTATTAATAATGAACCACAAGTTTTCTATTGGATTAATACCTGAAGAGGCTAGAGATTATTCCATTAATTTGATAAGTTGGGCAATAGCTTTGCAGAATATGAAGGAGTAATATTTTTTTATTAATATACACTTTAGTCTAAAGCTCCATTTTTATAATATGCACCACTCAAAAAAGGTTTAAGAACTTGCATTAATTCTCTGAATTTATGATGATACCTTCATCAATTAGGGACCTATAATTTTACTGCCTAGAGTACTAATCCAAAATATTACTCCACCTCCCTTCTGTTGTTTTCTAAGTTGTGATGACTTTTTCCATGTTTACTTGTTTCTTATAGTGATGTTTACTTAAAGCTGGTAATTTAGTTACTCTCATATCTTTAGTCAATGTTCTTAATATTTTGCATATTTTCTCTTTGCTTATCTTCGGAAGACCAGCCTCTTTAAATCATTTTTCTTTATATTCAATCCACTTTTCTTTCTTATTACCCCTCTAACTTTTATTGAATCTCTTTTTGTGATATTCTTAGTCATTTTTCCTTGTGCTTATCTTGTCAATGTTTTCAATTTCTATTGCCTTTTGATCTCTATTCAACTTTTTTTACAATTGCAAAAGTTGTGTTTCTATAAATCAGTTAACATTATAATATCTTGCTTCTCTTTTGAGATTATCTTTCTTATAATTCATAGCCATCGTTATATATCTGAAATTAAAAAGTAAATACAAATAACTCTATTATTAAATTCATTTACAAGAAGATAAACTCTCAAGTTGCATATAAATACTAAATAAATTATTGCAAATATTTCTAATAAAAGAATATATTATCAGATTAAATTTACATGGTATATTTAACCTATAAATATAAATATATCCTGGAAAATTTCATTAACATCAGTTGGTTAATACCAAACCTTGTTAGATGTAAACTTTCATATAGATATCATGCATTGTATTCAACTTGTTCAGAAATGTCTAAACTATCATCTATATGCAACCATTTGTCCACAATAAGACATAATCTCAAAAGGATGGTTTTCCCCCATGACATCACTTTTAACTACCTTCACTTTTTGGCTATATTTATCATTTTAAAAAGCAATGATTAGAATTGGAGTAAATCCTAAACATTTGATGAAAGATTTTTTTCTTCTTGAGAATAAACAACAAAAATATTAAACACTATTTATTAGATTGTTTATTTACAAGAATAATTTTATGTTTACATTCTAAAAACTAATACAATTAGAATTAATGTAATGAAATATTTATCATTTACCAATTTATAAAGAAATAAATGTGAAAACAATTTTTTATTTATAAATTTATAAGCATTTACTAAATTATTCAAATATGTCTACAAAATCCTTATTATTTAACATTTTATAAATTTTGCATTGATTGGCAATTAGCCAATGTTTTGCCAACGATTCCAATGAATAATATAATAAATTAATAGTGTAAATAAACAATCTAATAAATGTTTATTATTTTTGTTGTAAATTCTCAAGAACAAAGAAAATGTATAAATTCACTTTCATATGTTTAGGTTCTATTCCCGTCCTAATCATTGCTTTTTAAAACAATAAATATTGTTGAAGAGTGAAGGTAGTTAAAATAAAAGCAGTGTCATGGGAAAAATCATCCTTTCGACAATGTCTTATTGCAGGCGTGATTATCCATGTTTGCCAATTGTTTTCTCAGACAATGATTAAAAACAGTTTCAAGTGATTGAATCCGTTAGGCTTTAAAGACAATCCTTCATCAGACCCTATAGATTGGCATAACAAGATTGGAAACAAAGAGCTTTACTTAGTAAAAGAAACCTACATTACTTGAACACTTCCAACAACAGTAACAACAAAAATGGGTAGCATACATAAAGAGAAGAGAAAATAATGATATAATCTAACTCTATCAAGAACAAAAGGTTTGGAAGGAAATTCCCATCAATATTAGAAAGATTGATAACAGTGAACTTGAGAAGTCGAATTTCCTGAAAAACTGTTTTATGAAAAGGATTTTATAAATTTTAACTGACAGTCATGCTGTTCAGTCAATGAATGTAGAAAAAAAAAACTAAAACTAGGAAAACCAAAATATAAACCTTGAGAACTAAAGTCATGTTCTTAAATAGCCTTGTCACATTGAGACTCTCAAATGGATATCATGCATGGTGTTCATCTTTTTCAGGTAATATCTAAGCTATCATCTATATAGAATTGTTTTCTCAGATCAATGATTAAAAACAGATTGAAGTGAATGAATTCTTTAGGTCTTAAAGAAAACAATCCTTCATCAGATCCTGACACTACATAATCATAAAGAACTTTACCAAATAATAAAACCACATCACTTGGAGAATTCCAACAGCAATAAAAACAGGTAACACATGAAGAGGAAATAATGCTATAAACAAAATATTGGCATTCCATCTTATCTTAAAAGGTTAGGAAGGAAACTCCCATCAAAAATGAGAAAGAGTGAAAAATGTGGACTTGAGAAGTTTAATTTCCTGAAAAACTGTTTTAAGAAAAAGATTTTATAAATTTCAACCAAAAGTAACACTAACTGCTTGGTTAATGATTGTCAAATGTTTCCTAAACTAAAGTGCCAATCTAGGCAATAGATAAATAATCTGACTATTGCTTGTCTTACAATATTTTTTTTTAATCAATTCACCCCAAGTGAGGTGAAAATGTTACTAAGATGCAAAGGGCTACTGGGAGTGAAAGAGAATGAGAAGACTTTACAAGAAAGTGGAAACCCAATCCTAAATAGGAAACAAGGGATAAACCTCTACTCCTGTTCAAAAGATGTGTGTAAACTGGATGATAGGTAAACCTAATTACTCCTATTGAGGAAAAATAAATAAATACTAAATAAAATTTCAGAGTAAACTAGAGATGCTAGAAATATAAAGTTGAAAAATTCTAATAACAAATAATCAGATAAATGTAATATCGGTTCATAAGTGTTTGTCAGTTTTATGCAGTATTAATTATGTTTTCATTTCTTCCCATCTTTTATTATTGGTATGATTTTCTTTTCAGCTTTTGTAACAAATTTACAAAAATTACATCATTATCAGAGTCGGTGTGAACGTAGACCCCACGCTATTATAACTAAGCTGCAAATACAGCTAATAATTGTTTTATTCAAGGTACAGCATTTTAATTTAATAAAAAAATATTATTATGATGTGCCATATTTTTGCTGTGTTATGATAACAGACATATCCAGAAATAGAAATCAAATTTTTAGAACAATTTACTAATCACATGTCAGACGTAGTACAAAGCCTATAATACCCAGTGAGGATTGAAATTACTACTCAGTCATAATTGATCTAGCAAGACAAGCTTGCTAACCACTGCACCACATCAAAGAGCCCAAAATCAAATTTTTATAATATAGATTCTAATATCAGACAGACATATAGATTTAATTCTGGTTCATAAGTGTTTGTCAGATTTCACTATAAAGTAAAATAAAATTAATCAACAAAAGCAAATGATAATACAAAATTCTAAAATAGTTTTGGCAACATTGAATGGTTTTACTAGCTAATAACAAGTGTAATCTCCTTACCTAAGAATGATGTGTTGTCCAGCTTGTATATTTAAAGATTGACTAAAGGCAAGATCAAAACGATATCGGAATGTATCTTTTGTTTCCTGGGAGATTTCTTTCAGCATATATTTCCTGAAGGTGCTCTCAGACAACTGGAAAAAATCATATTGACAAGATTCAATAAATTGAATTTTGGTTTAATTAAATATCAATTTATTCATCTAAATATATGAATAGAAATATTTAGTCCATATGTGTGATTCTCATTTCATTTGATACATAAAGTAGCGGAGAAAAGCAATTGAGACAAGGTGGGAAGATGAGAGGAAGAAGAGAGAGTATAAAAATGAAAGGGAGAAAGGAGAGAAAAGAAATGAAAGGAAGAAAATATAGAGGAGAAGGAAGAGAAAAAAAATGAAAGGAAGAAGTGGGAAAAGAAAAATGAAGGTTAGAAGGAAGAGAAGAAAAAATAAAGGGAGAGAAAAAGAGAGAGAAAGGAAAAAGTGGGAGAAGAAAAAGGAAGGGAAGATGAGGTGAGAAGAAAAATTAAGGGGAGGAAAGAAAGAAGAAGCAAGAAAAACAAATGAAGAAGAGAAGAGAGAGAGAGAAAAAAAAACATGAAAGGAACAAGGGATGAAAAATGAAGTCCAAAATATTTATATCCATTGTCCGTATGTTATGATGTTGATCACCTATTCATAGGATAGTGGTTAGCATTTGGTCATTATATTAATTTGAAATGGATTCCATTTTAAGCAATTTAAATCAAATTAAATATAAGTTACTGTTACATACCATACTTATAAACACTAATGGGTATGTTCCAATCCTCATAAATATGTTGGACACTATTGTAAGTGGGGGTAATATGCTAAGTAGTCCACCACTAGCAATGGTTTACCTACTTCACACCGCTGGCAAGTATTGTATTTTGTTGATGTTATAAACATTACCATTTCATTTCCAACCTCCATTTTGGTTATTCCTCATTCAGTAACCTTTTCTAGGTTACAACAGTTACCGATTTATCTTGAGGTGTTGACCAATTACTTTTTAAATCAATTTATTCAACTAAATAAAATACGAAAATGTATTTTAAAATTTCATTTTTTTATCTTTAGATATTCTTATAAAGAAAGACATGAACAAGACATAATTCCAGGTAAGCAATCTAACAAGGGTTTTGTGATGTCTTCTAGTCTGTGATGTAGAAGTTCTTCTCCTATGATGACTGACTTATTAGTAGTCATTTGACTCTATACAAAATAGAGCAAGTCCATTTTGTTTATCGACCTACATCTGGAAACAAAGAGGTTCTATATCCTTCGTTGATCTGTGACTTCTCCGAATTATAGTATGAGATCATATCTCTCTCTCGAGGTGTGTACCTGGTTCTTTTTATTGGGGATCTACATCTCGACATCTTCATTCTGATCTTCCAACTCCATGTCAGATTTGTGTAAACTATCCTCCATAGTTTCTTTACTACTATGTTCACTTAACACTCATGCTTTTCTCTCTTTCAGGTTCCTCTTCTTCTTCCATCTTGACTTTTTGTCATCAATTCTAGGTCTTATTTTATTAGAATGTACCAATTCTGTTTACTTATTTCTATTATAGCTGTATTATGTCCCTTTTGTACAATAAAGTTAGCTTTTTCAGGACTTGATTCTCTAACTTTTTGCACCACATTTTTTTAATTTGTTAAATAGGACATTGTTATAGGCAGTTTCATTTGTCTTCTCATCAATGCAGAGGGACTTGTAGTCTACCAGCATGTAGAATAGTTCTATAACTAAGTAAGAGTCTTGATAAGTAACTGTCTACGGTGTCTTTGGATGAGGAAAATGCCTTCAGTCCCAATTCTATTGTCTGCAATTCCATTCAATCATGGGTGGTATGGTGGTGCTTTATAAGGGAGTCATCCAATTTGTTTTAATCACAAAGTCTGATCACAAAATTCTGGTGTGTTGTCAGAGACTAACTTTTTTGACACCTCATTTCTGGAAACTATAACTCATAATATTTGCTTTACTGTGGTAGTCTTCCTACCCTGAACTCTAACCACTTCAGACTATCCAGAGAATGTCAACTAAAATTAAAAATAGTCCTATGCCTTTAACATGTGCATGATTCATATGAATGCAGACCCATGTTGCTTTTTCTTTAGGCCATGAATGCATGTTGGTTTGACATAAGTATTTTTTTTATTTCCCTACATTTTGGGCATTTTTGTACATATTTTTCTACATGACATGAATACCCAGGCCACCATGCTTACAATTATAATCACCTCTGTGTTGCTGTTATTCCACAATGAACATTATCATGTACACTTTTTATTACATCTTAATCTCTCTGGTGGTATTAAAACATCTCCATTGCATATAGGACCCTTCTCTATAGTAAATGTGTACTTTATCTTTTTATAACATTGTATTTATAACATTGGTCCTTCCACATGGAAGGACCAATGTTATCAATACACACGCCTGGCCTTCGGCCTTACATCTGCTGGACAAATCTTCTCCCATTGCATAGCAGAAGCCCTAGCCACGGTCACATCCCATGACAACATTTCTTCCTATATCGACGACAACCTGGTCCACGCTAGGACATTTAGGGAGTACATATTCTTCCTCAAACAATTTTTACTGCCCTCCGAAAATTCGGACCCAAGCTGAATCCAGATAAATGTTCCTTCCTCGCATCAGAGGCAAAATTCCTTGGACGCATAGTAAACAGCGAAGAATTCAAGGGTGATCCAGAATACATTTGTGCCATCAGAGAAATGAAGCCTCCAACATCAAAAAAGGAATTACTAAGCCTTATCGGCCGTTTAGTGTGGATCAGACAATTCCTAGAGACACATCTTCACGAACAAATCAGGTCAGATATGTTTTCAAAACTTATGGGTCCCATACACGAACTCAACAAAGTTAATAAACCGTTTATCTGGACGCAAAATGCCGACAGAGCCTTCAAAAAAATCAAGGACTGTCTCTCTTCGTTTCCGGATTTCTCCAAACTTTTCACACTCACCACTGACGCCAGTGACGTCGCATGTGGAGCAATCTTAATGCAAGAAGCCGACAACAGGAAGAAAGATATCAGAGCAGTCATTTCCCATACATTCAACTCCACAGAACAGAACTGGTCCACGACGGAACAAGAGGCATATGCAGTAAAGTGGGCAATATTGAAATTTGATTATTTCCTTCGCAACTGCCCCTTCGACATCTTCACCGACCACAGATCACTTACATATCTGGACCAACGAGAGTTCAGTAATGCTAAAATACAACAATGGCAAGAAGAAATTTCATGTTATAAATTCGTCTTAGAATATGTCGAAGGCGAATCAAATGTATGGGCTGACATGCTCAGCAGAGGTTGCGGACATAAGAAAACGAAAGCCCCGAATGACCCTACACCAGCAGGCAGGACAATCGAGGTAAGTGGTTCAGACCTCCGTGTATACATCCCATCTTGGTGCTTCAGCGAGTTTAATGGTTTACAGTTCATTCCCAGAACTCACACACCACAAAACGCCCGCACCCACAAGTGTGTCACCAACGCATTCTTCTCCTATCACTCTACCACCACCCTCCCCACTGAGAGAATCTGCAACCACCTTGGCATCGTAAATGAACAACAGTAGGATGACGCCCTGGCAAAGATCATCAGCGCCCTCCAGTCACCCATTCCAAGCAAACCCTATATTGATCCTGACGACCACCGAGCTATGTTTTTCAAAAAACGTTTGCACCAATTTTTTCTAGAACTGGGCACGTCTGTTTTGATGATAAGAGACAGTAAACACTCTCCGAGATTGGTTGTACCATACAAACTACGATCCAGATACCTCTACCAGGCACACGAGGGCAACAACCACTCAGGTGTTACCCGTATGCAAGAACTCCTTTCCAGCTACTGGTGGGAATTCAAAAACCGCGACATCAAGGTCTATGTCGATTCTTGTGACACATGTGCTAAGTGCAAGGGCAACTACGGTAGACATACCCACTGTTCCATTGGCCACTGCAAACGAGGAAAGAGACCATTCGATCTTGTCTTCATAGACTTTGTCACAATGCCCAACTCAAAGGGAAAATGCTACATCCTAACCATCTTGGATAGCTTCAGCCGACACTTTACGGCCATACCATGTGCGAGAGACCGTTCTATTGCCGCCGTCCGCGGATTGTACCAGTGCTTCTTTCGACACAGAGATTCCATGCATAGTATCCTCTGATCGAGGCAGACACTTCACTGGAGAAGTCTATCGACAATTCTGTAACCAGACGTCAATCACGCAAGAACTTCACTGTCCTTGGCGCCCGCAAAGCTCAGAAAATATCAAGAGACAACATTGCACGATGAAGAACGCACTTTATATGTTATGCGAAGACAGGAACTGTGAATGGACAGACGTTCTAAAATCTGTCGTTTCGTCCATGAATGCTATGACCAACAGGGCCACCGGTGTCTCCTCGCACTATGCCATTACTGGCCGTCACCCCAACATTGGCCTACCTACACTACACAGAAAAGAAATTGCAAGTGACGATCCTGGAGCATATGGAATGCAAATTAATGCCCTGCTAAACTTGGCCAACAATGAAGCTGACCACAAACTTGAGACTAAACTTAAATCGCCTCACATACAAGGACCCAATACAAGTAGGCGACAAGGTTTTACTTCACCGGCCACACTTAACTGTTGCCCAATCCTCTCATCTGCCCTGGATAGGAAATTACACCATTATAAAAATGAACAATATGATGTGTCAGGTGCAAAACGATAATGGTGATACAATCTGGATTCACCGTGCACATATCCGACGACTGGCTCCACGTCCAACACATCTATCTAATACAATCCCTCTGCCTCCACTGTGTAACAGTCACCAGGATCATTCTCCTCCACATCCCTCTGGGACACATAATTCAGCAAATAACCCAATACCAAAACAAATGCCAATAAGAACAACACGAGGACAACTTCCCACGCGCTTCAGAGACTTTATCATGACTTAATCACCCAAATATACACGAATAATGCTCACTGTCAATCAGACCGTGATCTGGGGGAGCCTTGTTATAAAATAAAATAAGACATATCTCGGCTGATTTGCAGGCAAATAAACTAACATACTCAAGAGCGAGAGCCGGATGTGAACAGGACAAGGCCCCGTCACAAAATGACCATTATTGTTGTTTACGCATAGGCCCGACGCACGAGTTCCAGTTAAAAAATAAAATAATATTTTAAAGTGTTTCTATTTTTTGACCAATAAAAATGCTTCCTTCCTAATTATACTCGCGTCGTTTTTCAAGCCTGTTAAGCCATAAAAAATGCCATAAACGGGTCACACGGGGAAGTACTGGCAGTCAACAGGAGGCCAGGGAAGAGATCTGTCACGGTCAGTCTGGGCAGTCAGCAGCAGTCAGCAGGAGGAGCACCACGCCAACCAGTGAGAACTACTATGCGAGATCAACTCAGATCGGCAGCCGGCTTATGAACTATACCACAAGGTAGCTGTCCCAAAACCACACGTTCATATTAAAATAAATCACGTAAATCTATTTCTGCTGTTGTCGTATTTCTTTCTTGCA